TGCCTCTCTGCCTGCAGACCCTGGTCTTGGATCGTTATCATCATCCTCAACATTGTCATCAGAGGAAGAAGAGAAGGACAGGAAGGAGGAGGAGGAGGAGAAGGAGGAGGAAGAGCTGGTAAATTAACATTTACTGAGAGTTTATGCGGCATCAAGTTTTCTTATCAGCTCCAAGAGCTACCGTGGAGGTGGGAGCTCCTGTCGCACTACCCATTCCACAGACAAGGAAAGCAAGGCCAGCCACGCCCGGACTCGCCCAGTCTCCCCGTGAGCGCCTTCTCCCAACCCCTCGCCCCTCACTTCCCGAGTCACTCTTTCCTCTACCAGACATTTCTGGGGCATCGACCGCACCTGCTGCCAGGGATCCGCGACAGGGCAGCCCCGCTTCTGCCGTCCCCCAGGACACCCTGGCAGGCTGTCCCCTTTACCCCTGTGCCCGCCCTCCACCCCTCTCTCATTCCTCGCCCTGGCTCCTGGAGGAAAGACACCCAAAGTCTCCTCTCCACGTGTGGCCCAAAGCCAGGGGTGCAGACTGCAGGGTTCGGGAGCCCGCGTCTCCCACAACACGGAGCTCCCCGCCCTCTGGGTCATGCTTCTGGGGAGGGGCTGCTCACCTGGCCGGTGACAGCTTCGGGCCACCTGTCTCCTGGCGCCCGTGAACCCCGGGGGGCTCACCTGGCGGCAACGCCCATCAGTCTTTCCCCTGCGACATCACCGCGTGCCTATGGCTAACGTGCTCTGAATCTGTGCAGGGAAGAAGCCCTCCCTCGGGCCCCAAACTGTGCACTTCTTCCTTCCGGGACCTAAGCCCCTCCCTCACAGCAAAGTTCTCTCAGCTCCATAAAAAGCACCAAGTCCGGTCTGAAGGTTATTGTATTTCTTGGACACCATGAGGAAGTGGATTTTCCTTTGAACCTCAGAGCGTGAGGTCTTCCAGAAATATGCCTGAATTGATTTGTCCATCAAAGCATTCTTCTGGAACATGAGATTCCCCTAAACACCCCCTGCGCCCTGGGGCACTGGCCACGTTGTTCCCTAACCTGTGTCCCCTGGGACCAGGTTCCGATGGGAAAGGTAGCACAGGTAAAGGACCCACAGTGTGACACCAGCCCACAGGTCCTGGCGGCCCCACTCAAATCCAAACCCCCACGGGGAGACCTCCACCCCTCTGGGCCTCAACTTGACTCCCTGCAGCCACAAAATGGGAACGACTAGGAGGAGGAGGAGGGGCAAGGGCCACACGGGCTGGCCGCGTGAGGTTCCTGGGACACTGGACTTTGGGGTGCCCCCTGCCAATCCGTGTGGAGCGGAGCCAAAATGGAGCGAGAGCCAAAAGAGCAAAGCAGTCACTCTGACCCTTCTGTGGCTCCAGCATCGGATGTTCAGCCTGGGCACTGCCCACGGCTGTGGGCCAGCTGTCGGCTGGGGCACACCAGCGCGTGCTCATCAGGGTGTTATCCGCAGCTCTGGCTTCCACCGGTCAGACGCCAGCAGGACATCCCAACCTGCAAGCTGTGACTGCCAAAATTATCTCCAAATGGCCCCACGGAGCACAACGCCCAGCAGTGACCTGGGCCAGCTCCCCACTCCCCCCACCCCACCTCCAGCGGAAGACAAGCACCTCGGCCCCGCGACACTGCCGCCCGCAGACTTCACTCCCTCTCCGTGGCACTCCCATTTACCTGTTCGGTTCATGAACCACACGGTCTGCCCTATAAACTCTAACTGTGCGTGTCTCACTTTGTCGGCAGGTGGATTGTAAACTGGCCACAGCGGATGGATCACACACACACACACACACACACAGCGCTCAGCCACAATCAGACCACACAACTAGAAGAGCAAAAGGGAAAGACATATTTCCATGGTCGCTGGAAACCCTGACATTTTGGAAGTGAGAGAGAGGAAGAACCTCCTGGAAGCAGCAGGTGCTGAGGCCCCCAGACACAGGACGTAAGGACAAGGGCTGAGGAGGGAACCCGGGTGTGGAATGGGGGAGAGGCGTGAATCCAGATGGTGGGCGTGGAAAGGGAAGCAGGGGGCAGATGCGGGACAGGAAGGCGCAACTCGGTGCCGTGAGGCAGGTTATAATCTCCCGAGCCGGCCTCAGTTTCCTGAGCTGTGAAATGGAGCTCATGATAATACATGCGAGCATTTCAAAGTGTTCATGGAAAAACAGTATTAAAAGCTAAGTTTATTGTGATGCACAGAGTTTGAAATCCATGCACCATTTTCTGAGACTTTTTTTTTCATGTTTGTGTAAAATTAATACAAAGAGAACAGATTCAATGTAGTTTACAGACATGATATTTTCATTTTCTCATCATATAGCTTTGTTTATTAAGTTTTTGAAGACCTCATGTATGCATTTAAAAAATTTAAATTTAAAAAATGGCACCAAAATAAGCTTACCCTTTAATTAATTGCATTTTCCACCAAGTTCCAGAAGTACTGTTGAAGACATGACCGACATGCGTCAGTGCATTGTCCTTACCACCCTATGCGTGCTGGCTGTGTTTAATCCTCACAGGGGGCCTGGTGGTTAGGGACGGCCAGACGGACCGCAGCTGACAGGGACTTAACTGAAGCACCAAGAGCTGAAGGAGCTTGGCCCAAGGCCACACGGGGAGGAAATGGCAGAGGCACTGGTGAACCCAGGCAGTCTGGCTCGGGAACTCGGGTTCTACAGACCTCTAGGGCGTACGTAGCGCGCTGCGTCGCTCAAAGCCAGCAGAAGAGACCTCAATGACGGCGATCACGTTAAAAGGCTAGGATGCGGCTGGGGTTGTGGCGTAGCAGGTTAAGCCACCACCTGTAACGTTGGCATCCCTTATGGGTGCCAGTTCAAATCCAGCTCCCTGCTAATGTGCCTGGGAAAACAGCAGTGAAAGGTGGCCAAGTCCTTGGGCCCCTGCCACCCATGTGGGAGACCGGGAATCTGAACCCCAACCCAGCTAGAACAATGCAGCAACTCGGTCTTTCCTCCTGCACTCCCTCCCCCTTCCCTATCCTCCCTACCCCACCCCCACCCAGGGCTGCCTGGGCCACCAGAGTCCTGGGAGGCAGCTTGTGGTGACCCACGGGCTTGGATCCCTGCCCAGTATGGGGGAGACCCCGCTGGAGATCCCAGCTCCTGGCCTGCTGCAGCCCCAGCCGCGGACGGCACGTGGGGAGTGCAACCGCAGATGGATCTCTCTCTCCCTCCTCCGTCTCCCTTCAGACAAAGAAGAAAAGCCGCAATCCTCCTCCAAAGGCCTTCATCTAACACCTAAGTGAGGGGTCCCCGGGATGGAGAGCAGAGATACACAGTGAGCAGGGGTGGGGGACATTCACAGGAATCCCCCAGAGACACACAGGACCCCGAATCTGGGGGCTACTCAGAGGGCAGGACAGCTCCTGGGTCACCTCTGTCCCAGCCATCCCCGCCACCCCCTTCCGCTGGCTGGGCCACCACTCTCTCCACCCTCACTGTGAGCGGTCACAGCACACACCATCGCTCCAGCTCACTGACACCCGCTGGGTACCAGCCACCGTTCTGAGAACTTCCTCATTATTTCATCCCCATGTGTGCCACTGCCCAACCCCATTTTACAGACAAGAACACCGAGGTGCGAAGGAGACAAATAACTGCCACCTTCACCCTGCCACGGCAGACGGAACCTGGACCAGATGTCAGGACCATGCCTCATAGCCAAAGAGACCCAGGTTCAAGTGCTGATGCCTTCCTGGACCTCCCACGTGACACAGGGCAAGTTATCCAAGCTCTGTCTGAAGGTCAGTCCTGTCATAGGGACATGGAGATTTGCAGGAAAGTAACGGCACTCTGGTTGGGTGGGGATGTGTCAGCAAACCAACCACAGAAACCCCCTGCTCCTGCCGTGGGCACACACCAGCAGGGGGCACCTGTGTGTTAACTGCTGTCTTACTGCACCTGTCACACGCCCAGGGACCAAGAGGTCCCACAGGCAGCTTATCCATCTGGAACCTTCCAGGAAAATGGTAGGACCTGGACTAGATGCTCATGCCTAATCTATGGAGGCTTAAAAGAAAAAATTATATATTTGATTTGAAAAGCAAAGCAGCAGAGCGGTGAGGGAAAGGAGAGAGGAGGGAGGAAAGGAAGAGGAAGGGAGGGAGGGAGGCAGGGACAGAGGGACAGAGGGAGAGAGAGATCTTCCACTCCCTGGCTTACTCCCCAAATGCCTGCAACAGCCAGGTCTGGGCCAGGCTGAAGCCCAGAGCCAGGAACTCCATCTGGATCTCCCACAGGGGTGGCTGAGACCCAAGTCCTTGAGCCCATCACCGCTGCCTCCCAGGGCGCGCATTAGTAGGAAGCAGGAAGTTGGGTGGAGAGCGAGCCAGGGCTGACACTCAAGCACTCCAACATGGGATGCAGGGTCCCAGGCAGCCGCTTACCCTCAGCACCAAATGGCCACCCCCACCCAGTCTGTGGCATTCTGGCTGCTTGGGTTCAGATCCAGGAGTTTCCGTTTAATCTCTGTGGGCAAGTTGGTCCACCTGCCTGCACTGGACTCCCCTAAGGTAGAATGGGAGAAACAGCATTTAACAGTTGGGAAGCACAGAAGGCTCACAGAAATCCTGAGGGAAGTCCCAGCCTTAACGTTTTTTTTTTTCTTCTTGCAGGGGTGGGAACTGGAGCCGAGAGAAAGTAAGAAACTTGTCCAGAGGCGCACGGCAAGGAAACAGAGCGGTTCCCTAGCCTTCGATCTGCACCAAGTCGCCGCGAAGATGCAAAGCTCAGGAATTAGGTACGGTAGGCGAAGCGCCAGATAAAAGGCACGATCAAATACAACCCGGGGCGACTGCACGGAGGCGGCAGCCTCGGCAACTTTCTGAATGCGGAGGGTCCGCGCGCCACCCGGCTGCAGCTGGGGCTGGGGCCGCCGCCCCCGCAATCGCGTTCCCCACCCCGCTTGCTGTCCGCTCCCCCGCCTCAGGTGCCGCACCTGAGCACCGCGCCGCTGCCCGCGTTTCCCTACCGATCTCCGATCTCCGAGAAGTCAAGGACCCGGGGGCCGCGGGTCTTGAGAACCCGCCTCGCCTCTCAGCCCGCGTCCGCATCCGCGTCCGCCGCTCCTCGGCAGGTGGCGTCGGCGCCCCTGGCCTGGGGCAGCTCCCAGGCTGCGCGCCCTGGCAGGGGAGCCGGACTTCCTGGCTGGAGGGCCGGATCACTTTCTTCCTGGACAGGAGCCGAGTCCCTGCACGAGTGCTGGGTTGGGACACCTGCTGGCGCCGGGGACCTCCGTTCGATCCTGCGCCCCGGGCTCCTTTCCCCCTTGTCCGGCGCCAGGGAGGAGCCAGCAGGTGCGCGCGCCAGGCTGCGCGCCCCCAAAACACTGGCCAGCAGCCACATCATTTAATAGGAGGAAATAAGCAAATTATCTTGGGATTATAGTGAATCATAAAACGAAAGCAAATAAAAACCCCAGTAATGGGGCGGGGTGATGACCCACAGGCTTCTGGACTCCTGACTCCAGCTACCTGCTAAGGCAGACCCTGGGAGGCAGCTGTGGGCACCAAGTAGCTGGGTTCTTGCCTCCCTCGTGGGAGAGCCTACTGAGTTCCTGGTTCCAGGCACTCGGGACGTGACCCCGTGGGTGGGATGTCTCAAATATACTCTTTCTCTCTCCCTGCCCCATCTCAATTAAGTAATATACATAGATTTTTAGAATGCACAATGAGCTATCCGTTTACACTGAATACAGTTACAGCCCAGGAGGATGGTCACTCTCGAGAGAACGGAAAACAGGTGTGTGTGCGTGTGAGGACATGGAGCAAGTGGGCAGGGCTGGAAGACTTGGTGCAGCTGCTACGGAAGATGGCCCAGAGTTCCTTCAACGAGTTAAAGATGGCCGGCCGGCGCCGCAAGGATTCTGACCCAGCTCCCTGCCGATGCACCTGGGAGGGCGGCAGAAGATGACCGGTGGGAGACTCAGATGGAGCTCCTGGCTCCTGACTTGGGCCTGGCCCAGCCCCAGCTACTGTGGTCACTTGGGAAAGTGAACCAGGGGATGGATGCTCTCTCTCTCTCTCTCTCTCTGCCTTTCAAATTTGAATTACGTGGAGAGAGGAAGAAACAGAGAGAGAGATCTTCCATCCATTGGTTCACTCCCCAAATGGCTGCAATGGCACAGCTGGGCCAGGCTGAAGCCAGGAGTCAGGACCTTCCTCTGGGGTGCAGGGGCCCAAGCACTTGGGTCATCCTCTGCTGCTTTCCCAGGTGCGTCAGCGGGGAGCTGGATCAGAAGTGGAGCAGCCGGGTCTCAAACCGGTGCCCGTATGAGATGCTGGCATTGCCGGCGGCAGCTTTACCCACTACGCCACAACAGCGGCCCCAATAAACCTTTTTTAAAAATTAAAAGCAAGACTATTGTGGGCTCCAGCAATCCCACTTCCATATACAGGCTCCAAAATATTCAGGAAGGAGCTTGACATTAGCTTTGCAAACTCGTGTCCATCCCAGCATTCCTCACAGGAGCCAAGAGCCAGAAGCAGCCCCAGTGCCCACTAACAGATGCGGGGAGGGAGAAACCCTACAAAGAAACACGCAGTGGACGCTGCATAGCTCTCAGAGGAGGACTTGCTGTCACCTGCTGCGGCGACATGGCCGAACCTCAAGGACATGAGGCTAAGTGACACGCGCCAGTCACACAGGGGCAAAAGTGGCGCGGTTCCGCTCGTGTGAGCTATCTAATAGTCAAAACAACAGCAACAGGAGAGGGGTTGCCAAGGGGTGGGGGCGGGGGAGCCAGTGCTTAAGAAGCTAAGAGTTCCAGATTTGCAAGACAGAGGTGCGCTAAAGATCTGTTGCACACGTCACTGCGCTGAGCTGACCGCCTATGGAAAAGGTCACATTGTGTTTCTTTCCCATAAGTTTCAAAATGCACAGACATAAACCTAATTGTGATGATGGCAACCAGGGAGCCAGAATCAGTGATGTAAGACTGCCCAGCTGGGGGCTGGCCTGAGTAGCAGGGAAGGGTTCCCTGGGGAAAGTCTGGGAAACAGAGGAGGGGCGGCGAGCAGACATGCAAAGGCACTGTGGCCATGGGTCACGGGACAATTCAGACTTTTTTTTTTTAACTTATTTATTCATTTCTCAAACACCCACGACAGCTGAGCCTGGGCCCGGCCACAGCTGGAGCCAGGAATTCATCTGGGTCTCTCAAGTGGATGTCGGGGACCCAGTGATCACTTCTGCCCCCCAGGGTATGCATTAGCCAGAATCTGAAATTGGGAGTGGAGTCAGGACTCGAACCCAGGCCCTTGGATATACAATGTGGGCATCCCAAGCAACTGTTCTCTGTTGCTTAAAAAAACAAACACCCACTCCTGAATTTATCTTAGATAGTGCAGGTCTCTACCCAGCTGAGCAACTTTGTGAACAGACTCAATATTGATGACGATGTAACAGCCAATATGCACCGGAAAATAATTCATTATTTAATGACTTAACTGACATAGTGCTTAAGTGCAGGATTCTGAAGCCAGACTACTCGGCTTTGGATTCTAGCTCTGCCATGGCCTTCCGAGCTCCATGATGTTGGGCAAATTCACCTCTGTGCCCTGTTTGCCTCGTCTGTAAGTGGGGGCAATGCTAGGGCCTGCCACGCTGGCCTGCTGGGATATCTCATGAGCGGCAGATGCCTGGGGGCAGACCTTCGGCACAGCAGTTAGACCACCGCCTGAGAACGCCTGCTTCCCTCTCAGACGGCCCGAGGTCAAGCCCCAGCTCCCCTGCTCCTGAACCAGCTTCCTGCTGCTGCGCACTCTGGTGGCAACAGGCAACGGCTCGAGTACTTGGATCCCAGCCGCCCACAGGAAGACCCAGACTGGGTCCTGGGCTAGCTCAGTTAGCTCCCATCCTCTGGTTCACTCCCCAAATGCCCACCACAGTTGGGGCTGGGCCAGGTCTAAGCCTGTATCCTGGAACTCTGCCCTGATCTCCTATGTGCCAGGCAGGGCCCCAGGCACTTGGACCATCTTCCGCTGCTTTCCCAGGCCATCAGCATGGAGCTGGATCAGAGGTGGAGCAGCCAGGACCCAAACTGGTGCCCACATTGGATGCCAGCATGGCAGGCGGCGGCTTAACCCACTGGCCACAGCACTGGCCCGGGTAGTTTCCTTCCTGTCGTCATCAGTTTACGGAGCGTGAACATTATCCGAATCCAAGCGGAGTTGCTTTTGTCCAGCCCTGTCCACAAGCTGGGGGGAAGACAAAGCGGGGGTGGGGGTAGGGGAGGGGGTGTCACGAATGCCAGCTGATAACGGCGCGTATTCACAGAGGACCCTGGGTCGGCAGCCGGCTGTTGAATCCTGGACCGCTGCCAACCTGGTATTGATCCTTGCTGCCAACCACAATGGCTCCGGAATGCGTGCTCCTGCCCCGTTTTACCTTCAGAAGTTTGCCCTGGCCGCAGCCTCCTCGGATCCGCGCCTGGTCGACAGCGCCACGCGATGGGCACAGTGCGCTGCTCGGGTCCTTGAAGAATCGCTCTCCGCGTGATCTGTAGGTTGACAGCACCTTCGCAGCCGCGTGCGCGGGAGCCCCCCAGACCCCAGTACTCTGCGCACAAACAGCCACAGTCCACTGCCCAGGGCCATGGGCCATTGGTGCCCAAGCCCGGGTTTCCTGAAGCCGGGCTGAGGCTGTGAGTGCCATGGGTAGACACCTGCTGGGCAGTTCGCACAGACAGGACCTCGCCGCCAGTGTTTCCTAGTTGCCTGACTTCTGGAAAGCTGTCTCCATTTTCTCACTCCATATATGGGGGTAAAACTAGCATCTCCCTCATGGGCTGAGTTTAAGCCCTAAATACGTTGTGATCTGGAACGTCCTGAGTAGTTGTTTAAAAAAAAAAGTTTTTTTTTTTAATGTAAACATGTTCCTTTGCCATCATTCGTGTTCTGAAGGGCCCTGCAGGGGTTCTCAGCTAACCTGATGGAGACAGACTGCAAAGTGGGGATCTGACTCGTGCTTTTGGGAGAGTGGCTGTGAAAAACCCATAGCAACCGGAAGGCAGGCTCCCCGGAGGCAGAGCAGAGCTGCGGCCAACCCCTAGAGCACTCATTACAGGCATGACGCGTGCTGGTTGCGCCTCTCCTGAGACCAAAGTGTTTACACGCCCAGAGACGTTTGCAGTAAACACAAACCTGAGCTCCCTGGGCACCGACCACGCACTGCTCCCGGGAGCGCGAACCACTGGGGTGCTCACGTGCGCCACCTGGTGGACGTTCCCGCTGCCTTCAAGAGGCGCTGCGGCAGGAGTCAAAAGGAAACTAACCCTCACCAAGGGATGGGAGCCACCCTAGACTGGGGAAAGGGGTTAACCTAGATTAGGAATGGGCTAACCTAGGCCAGGGGGCTAACCTAATGGAGGAACGGGGCTAACCTAGGCCAAGGGGCTAACCTAACAGAAGAACAGTGCTAACCTAGACTGAGGAGAGGAGCTAACCTAGACTAAAAGATGGGACTAACCTAGACTAAAAGATGGGGTAAACCTAGACTGAGGAATAGCGCTAACCTAGAATAAGGAGAGGAGCTAATCTGGACTGAGGAATGGGTCTAACCCAGGCTAAGTAGAGGTGATAATCTAGACTGAGGAGAGGGGGCTAACCTAGACTGACAAATGGGGCTTACCTAGGCTGAAGAATGGAGCTACTCTAGATTGAGGAATGTGGATAATCTAGACTAAGGAATAGGGCTAACCTAGACTAAGGTATGGGGCTAACCTAGACTAAGAGATAGGTCTAACTTAGACTGAGGGATGGGGCTAACCTAGACTGCAGAATGGGGATAACTTAGACTAAGAAGAGATAACCTACTCTGAAGAATGGGGCTAACCTAGACTGCGGAATGGGGGTAACCCAGACTGAGGAATGGGGCTAACCTAGGCTAACGGATGGGGCTAACCTAGGCTATGGGATGGGACTAACCCAGACTGAGAAATGGGACTAACCTAGACTAAGGGATGAGGCTAACCTAGATTGAAATGGAGCTAACTTAGACTAAGGGATGGGGCTAACCTCAACTGAGAAATGGGGCTAATCTAGGCTAATGGATGGGGCTAACCTAGGCTAAGGGATGGGGCTAACCTAGACTAAGGAGTGGATCAACCTAGACTGAGGAAATCTTGCTGTCCAAGACGAAGCCCTAGCTGGCACCCAACCCGGCATGGGACATCACGCATGAGTGAGCTCACCTGATATCTCCATTAGGGGGTTGGTGGCCGTGGAAACAGAGAT